CCCAACACAGGCCAATTAATTCGCCTTGAAGCAAGTCTGCACACCCTTTCCTGGATGATCACAGAGTTGTTCCACTCATCTCTCTGGAGATCATGGAGTGGTCACTGCCACCGCCACCACCACCAACCCCACCACCTCCACCACCACCACCACTTCCACCACCACCAACACACACACCAACACCACCACCACCACCAACCCCACCACCACCCCACCACCCCCCGCCGATCTCCATGATGGAGGAGCCCCATCTGAAATCATTTTCAAACAGGAGTTTGGCTCCAGCACTCAACCATTCACAAAAATCCTCTCTAATCCTCAAGAGTTGATTCTAGTCACTTCAGAGCTGCTTTGCAAGCTGAAGCAGGGAACTGCTAAGGCAGCTGCACCCTGGTCCAACCATCAGAAAGCAAGAGGCAGGAGAACTAGAAAGGCAAGGCTCACTGAGCCATTTAACCCTCCGCCCTTCAATTAACCCCACATGTGTTTATCGACCAGATTGGCACAATAAACTAACTACCTCATGCTCTTTTAAGAAAAAAAATTTAAGGGATGAGAATGAAAATGAAAACAAAAAATTAAATAGGAACCTCAGGGAGTAGTGAGTTTACTTAACAGGGAAGGATCAACTCAGAAAAGAAGGAGAGTGGTGTACTAATTAATGTAGCCAATGTCACTGAATTGTACATGGGAAAGGTTTTATTGGCATATGTTTTGCTGTGTATATTCTCAATAATAACTAACTAAATAAAAGCATGTTAAAAAAACATAGTATGGGGACCTCATTACCATCAAGAAGACATGGAGCTAGTGTCTATCCTCTGGGCGTGGGGTCCCTGTGCTGAGAACCTTCAACTCCTAACTTGGGAGATAAACAGAGAGCTATAAAACTGTACATGGTGCAAAATGGCAGAAGAAAAGCAGCAGCAGAATTAGCAAACTGACATGACACAGTAGATTGGGCTCCCCAGACCCTGGAGCAATATGGCTACAGCAGGTTTCTTGACCAAAGAAAAGAAAGAGCTGGGTATCTTCAGGCAGAAACCTTCTGACCAGAGTTGGGTACCTCTGGGGACTTTTCAGTGGAGTAAAAGAGCTTTGTACCTTTTCAAAATCAGGACAGAGGCCAGCAAGAGGGGCCTAGGGGTCCAGGGGCCAAGAAGAGTGCCTGTCTGCAGGCATAAGCAATGGAATGAAGCTGCCCTGTATCTGAAGTCATTCCTGATCGTGAATGTGTTGCTTCCCTAATTACCTCCATAATCATAAATATGGCCTATAAATTTTATGTAGCCAGTAAAACAAATTCTTGAACTCACCCAAGAAGGAAAAGTCACAAGCATGACAGCTGTTGTTAAGAATTGATAAGAAGGTGAAAGAAAGGAGCTATGACTGAATTCCACCCTCAGAGGAATCAACTTTGGGTTATTTTGATCTTGATTTTTCTCTCCTTCTCCTTGTGAACTTAGAAAGTGTTAGGTGTCCCCAGCATCATTTCACTTTTACATACATTATGTATTTTATTTTAATTCAGAAATGTATAGACAAGGCAAAAAAAAGTGGCTCTTACTATCCACCACATCAGTAGTCTCATATTTAAAAGAACAGCAAAAAATATTACCCACTATCATGACCCCAGGTCTACCTTACAAATCCAGCTAAACTGTACATTGGTACAGATAAGAGCTCTCAGCACACGGAATCCAGGACAGATAATCCAGTAACAATAATGGGAGTGGCGATACCATGAGGGTGGGGAGAAAAAGGGAAGAAAGGGGGAAATGATGGCAATGATAAACGTATAATGCCACCCCTCCCCCCGAGGGGGAGGAACAACAGAAACGTGGGTGAAGGGAGACAGTGGATGGTGTAAGATATGAAAATAATAGTAATCTATAATGTATCAAGGGTTCATGAGGAAGGGGGGGGCGAAGAGAACTGATACCAAGGGGTTAAGTAGGAAGAAAATGTTTTGAAAATGCTGGTATCAACATATGTACAAATGCGCTTTATACAATTGATGTATGGATTGTTATAAGAACTGTTAGAGCCCCTAATAAAATGATATATAAATATATATATATTAGTAATGCATGCTCATTAAAAAATGTGAATAAATATAGAAGTTAAAAATAAAAATCCTATTCCCTTTTAAGTAATTCAAAGTTATACATAAAAAGAAAGATCCCTAATGAAAAGAAATGCATGGGCAAAAAAAGGGCTAGTAATAAGATATTCATGTTTGATAGTTCTAAATGCTTTATTCTTCATGGTTTTTAGTAACAGATATATAAAAGACATGGATAAAATTATAGTATAGGGCACATAAAATATCAAGACATAGTGATAACAATAAAAGGGAGAGATGAATGATATAGATCTGGAATTTCCTGTCCACAACCGGAAGTTAAGTTGGTAGCTACCTACCCTAGAATATTATAAATATTAGCTGCTAAATTTAAGATCCAAGGTAACCACTGAGGAAATACACTTGAAAGCATACAAGAAAAGGAAAGGAAGAAGGAGCCCAAAAGCCTCCTACAATAAATTTGCAGTACTAAAGCAAAGCAAGTACTAAGTACTAAAAAATCAGCAAGTACTAAGCAAAAGCAAGAAGTACTAGAAGACAAAGAGAAAAAGAAGGCTTGCAACATGCAAAAGACAAACTAAATAATGGCAAGTCACTTCTTATCAGTAATTACAATGAATGTAAATGGATTATAAGCACCAATTAAAAGGAGAGAATGCTACAATGAATAAAAATAACATGATGCTACTGTGTACCATTTACAAGAGACATCTCTTAAACCATAAGCACTAATAGGTTGAAAGTGAAAGACTGGTCGGGGAGGGGAAGAATTCCATGCAAATCATAATCAAAATGGAGCTGGAGTGGTAATCTTGATATCAACATGGACTCTAAGAT